CGGTGGAGGAGGAGGGGGAGGCAGGGTGCCACAGGGTGGAGGGGGAGGTATCCCTGTGGTAGCAGCTGAGGTGAAACAAAGGAAAGAGAAGACTCAAAGCTGGGTGACATTTAAAAGTCTGCTGCCATCTAGAGGACATTGTATGTTACTGCAATGGAGCAGACAGGGAAAACAAAGCAGTGAGATAAGAGAGATAAGAGATCAGTGAAAGGAAATACCTGGCTGTGTGCTCTTTTCCTGAAATAAAACGATTTGCGCTATCTGAGCTCGGAGTTTGGCGAGTTCTGTCTCCAGAGCGCTGATCTTCTGATTGGCCTCATCGTTGTTGTTTGTCTGCCCCTGGGGGTCCGGGGTCCCCTGATGCAAAGTGGGTAGTGACATCTGGCGGCATAATGGCCTCTGAGGATGAGTCTCGCGGGCTCGAAACACGAGTCCTGCTGGGACCGCTGACCTGTTTCAAAAAGGCATTCAAATGTTTTAGACCAAACTCACAGAAACAGTTCAAGTGAAACACTCTCTCTGTCGCTGTTAGCAGACAGAGGAGTATCTCCCACCTGGGTCTGCCGATGAATTCGTCCTCATCCTCTTCGTCCCTGTCGAGCCAGCCGACATCAGCCAGAGAGGCCAAACCACTCGGCCTGCTGCCGCCAATCAGGACACCAGCGTCCTCATTGTACGGGTAAAGCTGTCACAGAGAAAAGCGATGATCAAAAACACTGCATTTCAACAACTAATACAAGTAAGTGTGTGAAAGGAAACGGGGCTAGTTCAGAGAGAGGAGGTGTGGGGGGTCTGTACGATGCTAATGAAAGGTTCAGGTACTCAGTAATCAGCTGGAGGTTTTGGAAGGTTGCTGAACACACTGACCTAAAGCAGACACACTGCATTCCACAAAGCTAGGGAGGGGAGCTGGAGACAGAAGGACAGAAGAAAAAAGAGAAAGCACTGTGTTGAAAGAGACAGAAAAGGAAAAGGCAAAGCATTTCAGATACACCTCTTTATAGAAATATCTAAAAATGGTGACCTTTAAATTGTTTGGTGAAAAAACATATCTCTGTTCACATGGCTCGTTTTATGGGTGACACATGGAAACAGTTCTGAGGTAAGCAAAAGCTGGAAGAGGGCTGTGATTTATCGTCACATGACTCCGACAGTGAGGAGCGACAGGCAGAAAGACAGAGGAAGAGATTTGGAGACGAATTCACTTTGACACACATATAATGAATTTGATGATTATGTAAACGCCCTTACCTGAAAATGAACCCTGGGGCAGGGTTTAAAAGGAAGACTAGAAGCTATTCTCCTCACAATACTTCTAGAGGACCCGTAGGTCTTGTCTGATCCAAAAGCCTGCAAAACAAAACATGAAACACATCATTTAGAGAGATGGAAATAATACATTTAAACATTGAATGTATTTAGCAGACATTAACAAAAGGTTGTCACGTACCAGGTCCATTTCTATCCGTGGATTGTCTTTATTCATTTCTGTTGATGTGTACTACAAGTGCATTCAGACACATGTCCTAAAACCAAAGGCATCATCACCAAATTGTCACCTAGAGGAAACACAAAGAAAGTTTTTAATTTGAATCATGTTGAGTCAAGGAGAGGATAGTGCAATGTGTAATAGTGATAAGATGCTCCAAAACACTGATATATTCTTTATTTGTCTGCAATAAAATACTCTTTCCAAAATGATCATCGCTGCCAATAATTATTATATTATAGAATCTCAATCCTTATCAGTTTCCCCAAGTGTTTAACATTTTTAACAGCTGTCAAAATCAAAGTTAAGTAAGTGACATCTTTACAGGAATAACTTTAAAACAGTTCAAGCCTTTTAATTGTTTATTTTAGCAACAGGACAAGATGCAAAACACTGTAGGAAAAGCTTTAACATTAACAATTGCAGCACAGGCAGGGATGTTAGCATGATAGCGTTTTGAAGCTAGTTTTACTTTTACCGCTGTTTGTTGTTTTTAAGGGTTAAAAAAGTTAAGCCAATAAAGCGGTAACGTGAGTCGGTCGCAGTTGTGTGGCAGATGTTTGCTTATAGCGTGCATGTGACAGGATTAGATGTTAGTTGAGCACGATTAAACAGGATAATCTTGACTTTAGCGGCTAAACGATGCTAACAAGCATAGCTCCGGCTAGCTAACTCCAGCCAACTTTACAAACACATTTATTACGACATTCCAAAGACACCCACAAGTCTAATCACATTAAACGCCGGGGAGGCAGATGCATATGTAAACTTTCCAATATAATCAAAGATCGTTTGTGTTTGTGACTTTGAAACAAACTTACCGAAGCTGTAGCTGGCAAACAACTGTCTAAATTTTTCCACCTTGTCAACCGACGGACATCTGCAGGAGGGGGCTAATGTGGGAAGACTCAAGGAGTACATTTTTGAGCCAATTGGATTATACGGATTACAATGGGTAGGTTGTGGCCACGGGATGCTACGATTGGTTGTTCACATTGATTGACAGGCGCCAGCACCAACCAACTTTGACTAAGAAAAGAACACTAACTGATGATTGGGTGTAATATCAGTCAATCAAAGTATACCGTATCATTTGACAGGAACTTTGTGTGTGCTCGTTATACTTCCCTTCATTCCCCGGCGGTGATGTATCCTGTTTAAAGGGCTTGGAGCTTTACGGAGAATTGGGACGTCCGTATTCACAAAACAGCTGTACCCATTGACGTGCCACAAAACCTAAACACTGTGCACAGCTGCTAGCTAAAGAAGCATAGAAAAGAAAGGGACGCAGGCCTAGCGTTTGTGAAATTTGTTTGTGACATTTGTTGTTTAAAGGTGGTGCCGGAAGATTTTGTAACGTCGTGTTAGCATCTGTTGTAACTGAAGTCAGCTGGGGTTGTCACATGGTTTTACTGAAAACTGACCAAAAAGGTATGCTATCATTGTCAAGTAACGTTAGCTAGCTTAGCTTAGCTGCCGACTCGCCTCTGTACCACAGGGCGTGTTTTGAGGTGAGGTTGGGGGTCGTAGTAAGTGTCTTAGGTAAACATGAATATTTGTATTATAGCTTTCTGAAATATATTGATTGTGTAAGAAGTAACTCAGGTTATGAAATGTCATGCTAAGCTATGTATACTTTACTGTGAAAACCACAGTCCTATCAGTCACTTATCAAGAGTCACTTATCAGTCAGATTGTGTAGGACTACATTTCTGAGGCTATTGTTTATAAAAGAACCCGAAACTCAAACACATCATTCAAATGTGGTCTAAGGTAATGGGATGGTTGTTAAAGTTTCATAGTGTCTGCCAAACACACTTGATTTTGCAAGTTGTATTATTATTTTTGCACCAAATAAAAAAACAACAGCAGTAACAATAACAATTTTGCAGCAGATTGTGGATTTTTCTACAATTTTGATAATAAATTAATGTTGTGATAGTTATTTTTGGACATGTTATGCATTTAATAAAATTACCTACATGTGTAACCGATGTGTAAACAATCTTTGGCTGCAGTTCTAATGTGTTTAATGTAAGCTCCCTGGTTGATCACATGTTTCTTTTTCTCCAGCAGAGTGAAGCGGCTGGTTTGATGTGCATGGCATCTGGATAAGAGGCACCATGAGTGCGGAGCTGGACGCCCTGACCGTGGTGAACCAGCTGCGAGACCTGGCTGCGGACCCCCTGAACCGAAGAGCCATCGTAGAAGACCAAGGCTGTCTGCCGGGCCTGATCCTGTTCCTGGACCATCCCAACCCACAAGTCGTCTACTCGGCACTATTGGTAAGCAGCATCCATTTATACACATGGTGCATTTGCAATGTTCTAGCTGAACTATCTTCAGCAGTCGTTTGATTCAATGAGTCTTGGTTGATTAATCAGTTGTGTGGTGGAATGTAACAACAATGTGATATGATATGTAACGGGCTGTACCATGAAATAACGCAGTGTTTTAGGTGCCTAAAATG